TTCTTCCAACCTAGAAGGAACACTTATATGACAATACTTAATGTGCTGGTTTTGGTAAAAAATACAATCATTAGCACCTGATTGTCAAAGGGCAGGCTTACAGTAAAGACCAAGACACTAAAGGTATGACCTAATTTTGGTGCACAAGTCTAGGACACTTGAAAAGGAAGGAGAAGGAAGCCATTCCCATTTCTGCACAATCACCAAAGATGTGGCCTGAAAAACTCACCCTAGCAATGAATGGGAAGCAAGATGGACAGGAATGGACTCTTGAAGTTATAACAAACTCAATCAACCTATTTTCTTTCTCCTTTTTCTTTCTGAAATTCAATTAACAAATTCTTTTTTGGGTGTGGTACTGGGGCTTGAACTCAGGACATCTGGCTTGCTAGGCAAAGGTTCTACCACTTCAGCCAAGCCTCTAGCCAATCTTTCTTATTTTCTTTAGGACTATTTCATTGAATTTGAATACTAGATTGTTCTAGAATAAGTACATTTTTGCTAAGTTTTAATTGACTTTAATTAACTTTGATCATTAACGGAGAAACATTCCACCACGTATGTAAGGATTTCATTTAGAGATGCTTTGGTTTAAGTGGGGACATGAATGGATCAGCAAAATTTAGAAATAGGTGTTGATTAAATACACACTTATAAAAGAAGCAGTTAAAGATGGACTCGCACCTGTAATCCTAGCTCCATCTGAAGCCAGCAGGGGTAGACAAACTTGCCATCTGCCATCTGATTTCCAAATAACAAGGGAAAAGCTTAAGTGAAGGTATGGTCCAAGTGGACTCATGGTCCAGCCATGAATAGAAAGCCAAAGCTGAATGAGAGCATGAAGCCTGAGCTCAAGCCCCAGTACTGGCATGTGTGCTCAAGCACACACACGCAGTGACTATTTATTGTACCTTTCCCTTACCTTGAAAATCTGTCCTTCAACAAAACAGATGTATCACTGAGCAAGCAGATGTGTTTTCTTTTTGGTCTGTTTTTATGGTGGCAGTAATGAAGACCTGGGGCATAGGAGGTAGGCACTCTACCACTGAAGGAAAGACCTTTTTTTTTTTTTTTTGTCTTGTCGGTCATGGGCATGACTCTGGGCCTGGGCACTGTCCCTCAGCTCTTCAGATTAAGGCTAGCGCTCTACCACTTGAGCCATAGCCCCACTTCTGGCTATTTCTGCTTATGTGGTGCTGAGGAATTGAATCCAGAGCCTCATGCATGCGAGGCAAGCACTCTACCACTGAGCTACCTTCCCAGCCACCCCCCCCTATTTTTTTTTAAGAGAAAAGATTTCATATCAGCCATTCAAGCAGTCTGAAGTAGCATAAAATAAACCCTACTTACCATCATTATAGCACAGGAATAACTACATTGCTCCAAACCACATCCACCTGACATATAGCATAGGGTTTTAGAACTACCATGACACAGTTATTGAATGTCTATAAATGTAGTGAGACAGCTTAAAAAAACAGGGCAAGGCAGACTGCTGCTATCATCCTTTAAAGACGGTATGTGAAAATAATGCGCAGTTACCAAACAATTAAAATAAGGACTCAGGAGCATGGCAGGTTCATCTCCTTCCATCTTCAACAGGGGAAAAAGAAAAGCCATGTAACAACTGGAATTTCACTGAAAGAGATTCTAACGGAGAAGAAAAAGAATGAAAATGACTATAGTCAAATTCAAATTAAACATTTCTGCACTATGGCAATTTAAAAAAAAGTCTCAGTTACATAGATATTAAGACCTGTTGAGAGCAATTTGCTTTGAGATCAAAGTGACCTGGCATTTTACTTCTTTCTTAGGGGCTGGAAAACAAGACCTTTGGCTTTCTAACCAGCCATTTCACAGCAGCCACGTGGAAACGGAAGCTGGATATTTGGATAGTTTAAACATTATGTACAATCAACAGTTATAACCAATGAAAAGAATAGAAACACAGTTCTAAATAAGTGTCCAAGATACAAAAAAGCAGAGAAAGTCTAAAGATCCTCCCTGACAGCTTAAAACAATGTTTAACTCTTTAAGCAGATAGGGCTACAATATAATTTGCATAGCAGCTTAAAAGGTAATTTGCATAAAAATGGATATATTCTTCCATGGTGTTGAAAATGAACAAATATAATCACATACATTTAAATGAAAGGAGACTGATTGTTACTCACAAAGTTTTAACAGATCTATATACTCATCTCACATTTTTGTCTACTCACTGCAAAATCTGTTTCTGGGGAAAACAATCTTTTTTGTTGCTGTTGGTCATGGGGCTTGAACTCTGGGCCTTGAGCGCTGTCCCTCAGTTCTATAGCTCAAGACTAACGCTCTACCACTTGAGCCTCAATGCCACTTCCAGTTTTCTGGTGGTTAATTGGAGATGAGAGTCTCACAGCCTTTCCTGCCCGTGCTGGCTTTGAACTGTGATTCTCAGATCTCAGTCTCCTGGGTAGCTAGGATTATAGGCGTGAGCCACCAGTACCTGGCTAAGGGAAACATAATCTTATCCAGATTCCACACAGATTCACTTTTTTTAAGAATAAATTTTGGTTTGTCAGCTATTAAAGTTTTAACTGGCTTTATTATTCTCTTTATGAGCCCAAGTTAGGAAAACAGTAATGTTAGCTATCTATTGGTCACAGACATTTTTCTATTTATGTACATAGAAAAGAAATTAATTCTATTTCCTGCCATGCAATAATTTCCAGGTACAAAGTTTGTGAGAGTTCAGATGATGAAACCAGGTACGGTCAGACTTTCCCTAGCTGAAAAAGTGCTAAGACATGGCTTTAAAATAAGTGAATGACATTTAAAGTAATATATATATATATATATATATATATATATATATATATATATATGATATGCTATGTGTGTGTGTGTGTGCACATGCGCGTACCAGTCCTAGGGCTTGAACTCAGGAATTCGGTGCCATCCTTTAGCTTTTTTGCTCAAGGCTAGTGCTCTACCACTTGAGCCACAACTCCACTTCTGGCCTTTTTGGTAGTTAACTGGAGATAAAGAGTTTCATGGACTTTCCTTCCAGGTCTGGCTTTGAACCATGATCCTTAGATCTCAGCCTCCTGAGTAGCTGGGATTACAGGCATGAACCCTAGCACCCATCTAAAGTACTATTCTTTACTTCCTGGCCAGATCCCATTATTCAACTGAAACTCCATCTACTAGGTAGGAGAGTTTACAGTTAAAATTATCTAATAAATAGTGCATAAACATACATCTAAGTATTTCTTCAAATAAAATATTAGAAACCAATTTCCAGAATAGGATGGTTTGATGACTTTAGGAGAAGACTCAACAAGAAAAAAATTAAGAAATTAAGAAAGAAAGGAAGGAAGGAAAGGAAGGAAGGAAAGAAAGAAAGAAAGAAAGAAGGAAAGAAAGAAAGAAAGAAAGAGAGAGAGAGAGAGAGAGAGAGGGAGGGAGGGAGGGAGGAAGGAAGGAAGGTAGGTAGGTAGGTAGGTAGGTAGGTAGGTAGGTAGGCCGGGTGCTGGTGGCTTATGCCTGTAATCCTAGCTACTCAGGAGGCTAAGATCTGAGGATCGAGGTTCAAAGCCAGCGCGGGCAGGAAAGTCTGTGAAACTCTTATCTCCAATAAACTATCAGGAAACTGGAAGTGGCATTGTAGCTCAAGTGGTAGAGTGTTAGCCTTGAGCTGAAGAGTTCAGGGACAGCACTCAGGCCCAGAGTTCAAGCCCCATGACCGACAGAAAAGAAAAAAAGAAGGAAGGAAGGAAAGAAAGGGAAAAAGGAAAGAAAAGAAAGAGTAAAAGAGAAAGAAAAGCTAGGCTAAATTAAGCTAAACTTAAGCCAAGCTAAGCTGAGCCTTTTCCCCTTCTTGGGTTCCTGTTCTGGGAGAAGGAGAGGCGCACGGGGAGGGGGAGGCGCGCTCTTCATGGGAAGCAGGCTGCATGAGTGTGGACAGGATGCTGAAGCCAGGGTTTGGGAAGGGGGCTGGGCTACGGGAAAAGCAGCACAGCTCTGCAGTCCCCTTTCTATTCTCTACACAGGAGCTCAAAGCATCCTCAGCAATTCCCCTAATTCAAAATGAAAAATGACAACTCAACTGGCTCTATAAAAAAAGAGGAAACATTGAAGATGAAGATCATTTGAAAATGATCTGCCATACTTTGGCATTTAAATACAAAATAGGTACATTTCAAGGTGCCCCGCACGTAAAAGCACTTCATTTGTGGTCGGAAATCCCACACAGAGTAACAACCTTGCCCACCTGTGACGGGCTGGCGGTTAAAGTATGTAGAACAGGCAGTAGATAAAACAGTGGCAGAGGGCTTTTGCTAGGGGATGAGAATTTCCCTACATTTTAATTTCACTTTAAGTCTTAAATGATATTAAACCCCTGTGGGGCCTCAGTGTTATACATGACAGTCTATAAACGTGAACAAAATCAGCTGAAATGTCTTCCCTGCCCACATTGTCATACACCTCTTTTTCGGACCTTCTTTCACAGTAACACAGAAAGCTTCAACCGGGTGGCTTTACTGCTGAAGTCCAAATGCATCATTCAACTTCTCATCTTAATAATAAGAGAAGCCAACAAGTTCTCTTTCCTGAGATTGCTGTTTGGTGAAATTCTGCTTGCAGAAATCAGGGCTGGACCTTGAAAACATTTCTCCCTGAATTGCGAATGTGTCTCAGATGGAACCAACCTTAGGTTTACGGATTTTCAAACACATAAAAAAAAAAAAAAAAAAAAAAAAAAAGCTTGAAAACACTTTTGTCTAGATTTTCAGTTCCAGTCAGACCATTCATTTTTGGAGCTTTAATACTTATTTTCTTACTATAACCACAGACGGAGGCCGATGGTGGGACTACAGAGTTGGCTGAATGTCTATCTTCCGCACGGCCCTCCATCCGTCTGTTCAAATCAAACAGCTCACGGTTTACATCACAGTTCTCTCTCTCTCTCTCTCTCTCTCTCTCTCTCTCTCTCTCTCTCTCTCTCTCTCTCACACACACACACACACACACACACACACACACACACACACACACACGGGAATGCCACCAACTGTAATGCTCATATCCTTGTGTGCTACTCTTGATAAATCTAGAAAACGAGAGCTAGTCCTAGACTTTCTTTGGAGAGCTGAGAGTTTGTATACATGATCCATTTTAAATGTTTTCAGACTATTTATCTCTCCTCTAAAATTAGGAAAATTAAGTTGAATATGATTCTCTAAGACCACAAAAAAGTGCAATTTCACTGCTACTGTGTCCTAGTGATGATCCTTAGCCATGTGAACAAAATTCAGGTAACTGAGCCTCATCACCCTGGCCACACATAGTACCTTAACCACTGAAGGGCTATGGGGGAGGAAGGCTGGGGCTCCTGCATGGGTGCACACAGCCCAAAGGCCCCACATATTTGTGCTGAAAGGCTGGCCTAACCCATAAACCCACAAACTCCTTAAATCAGCTAGTTCTTGCTGGATTTATCTTTCTCCGAGATCTGCACACTAAACAAGATGCCATTAAAGTAACCCACCTCAAGGATAATTTTTCAGAGCTAGGATAGACGATATCCCTGAAATGGCAGTGATATCTAGTAATTAAAATAGCCACTAATAAAGCTCCACCAACCCTAACCAAAGGCACATTTGGTAAGCAATAAAAAATGGCTTAGCTTAAAATGAGGATTTTCTTTTAAAATAAACCTTAGACCATTCATTCCCTGGCTCTTGCCAAAAGTAAAATCAGAGAAATCTACAAGAAGTCAAATTTTTTCTTTCAAAGCAATGTTTTCCAACTTGCTTTTCGACTTGGACACCACTAATAAGAGAGGCAAGATAAATCGCATTTTGCAAGTTCTGAGTCCTAAGATTAGCACTTTCGAGGGACAGAGCTGGTGATAAGGTGGGCAGTGATGGGAGGGGCCAGGTACAGTGAGAGCCAAGGCAGAGGGAAGAACCCTTTGGTGATGCAATTGAAGGACTGTCTATAGAGAGGAAGGAACAGATAAAGATGTGGACTCCGACAGCCCATATGACTTGTCTGAAATGATCAAGAAGCAACGGCTGCTACACACTAGCACCTGGGAAGAAACAGTCATCCTGAATAAAACACAGAGGCTAAACTTGAGACAAATCCTACATAAGAAGAAAAGAAAAACCTTTCTTGGCTATTTGGTATTCAAAAAGGGAAAACAAAGAGCCACCAGGAAATAAACCTAATTACTTGTAAACCACATTATGAAAGGAGAAGATACATCAACAGCTTCATTTTGGAGCTTATTAAGAGTCCTAGAAATTCTGGCCTAGGTGGCTTGGGAAAAGTAGGCTTTTCTTTAAACCAGTTATAGTTTAGCAGTGATTTGCAGGTCCTTGGGAAGGCACTGTACTGGAGGAAAGAACACAGAGCTTTCATTTGTGCGAGGTGGAAATACTTCTTGCGGTAGCCAAGGCTCTTCTCTGACGTCTGCTGCTCACACGAGCAGTCCCATGCGAGTGACTTTGGCTGACAAGAAAGTATGCAGCACGAACACAATTGGCTTTGGACAAGAGTGCAGGTCCATGGCCTGTGGAGAAAGGACATCAGCCATCACTACCAGAAACAGACAGTTTGCAAAATAAACACATTTAGATGGTATGACCTTTCATAGCTGCAACCAGGAGACACTTGTGGGTACCATGCCTTGTAGTTAGAACTATAAGTAGTGTTTAAAATAAAGAGGAATATCTTGTCTGGAGAACATTAATGCTAACTGTATTTCCCAGGAAAAACCAGTGGATTCAGCTGAAGCATGATGGTCCACAGACACCATTTCTGACTGTCTGACTAGATTGCTGTGGGGATGATTATGTGCAGAGGTCTTCAGTCTGGACAGCTGCCAAGAAGAACCAGGAGATCTGGGATCAGGTTGCTGAGTTCAGCAAGCAGTTAGTTAATATTTGGCATCAATAAATTAAGGATATAGTTAACTATAGTTAACTCTTACCTCTAAAACCTGATCACAGCAATGGACAGAATTTTTTTTTTTTTGGGTGGGGGTCTTTGGAATTGAACTCAGGGCCTGGGTGCTGTCCCTGAGCTTTTTGTATAAGATTGGGACTCTACCACTTGAACCACAGCTCCACTTCTGGCTTTTTGCTGGTTACTTAGAGATAAGCAACTCACAGACTTCCTGCCCAGGCTGGCTTCAAACTGTGATCTTCAGATATCATCCTGCTGAGAAGCTAGGATTACAGATGTGAGCTTGTTTTTTGTATCTTATTTTTATTTATTTATTTTGTCGGTCGTGGGGTTTGAACTCTGGGCCTAAGCGCTGTCCCTCAGCTCTTCAGCTTAAGGCTAGCACTCTACCACTTGAGCTACAGCGCCACTTTGGGTTTTCTGGTGGTTTATTGGAGATAAAGAGTTTCACAGACTTTCCTGCCCAGGCTGGCTTTGAAACGCGATCCTCAGATCTCAGCCTCCTGAGTAGCTAGGATTACAGGCGTGAACCACTGGTGCCCGGGTTTGTATCTTATTGTTGAAAAAACCTTACTCTTCAGCCGGGCGCTGGTGGCTCACACCTGTAATCCTAGCTACTCAGGAGGCTGAGATCTGAGGATCACGGTTCAAAGCCAGTCCGGGCAGGAGAGACTGTGAGACTCCTATCTCCAATAAACCACCAGAAAACAGGAAGTGGCGCTGTAGCTCAAGTGGTAGAGCGCTAGCCTTGAGCTGAAGAGCTGAGGGACAGCGCCCAGGCCCAGAGTTCAAGCCCCACGACCGACAAAAAAAAAACAACCTTACTCTTCAAATGCTATCTTGAAAACTGAAGAAGAATTTCCTGGCTCCAATGAGTGTCAAATGTCAGGCCATACTTGCCTACTTGAGGTAAAAGCAATAAGGAGCAGACTAGTTATTAGTGTAAACATGTTTTCAGAAGTACCCTTACCAGCTCCCCCTCAGGACCACCAAAATCTAGGTAGAGGTTTCTGATGCCATCATCAGCAGACATTTTCAGCCGTTCAAAGGGGTAGCGGTATACAATGCTGCTGGAGCCTCCATTTTCCCTGGAGACAGTGAATCCATTTTCATAGTGGACTGTGAGTCTTACTTCTTGGCCATTTAAGGTGCAGCCTGGAAAGATAGGCAAAAACCATAGCTATAACGTTTCTACCTTAGTAATTAAATAGAAAAGGGTTGTCCTAGCTTCCAAAAAAGAAAAAAAAAAAAAAAACTTTTCTTGAAAATATATGAAGGCTGGGAAGGTGGCTCAGTGGTAGAGCGCTTGCCTTGCATGCTCGAGGCCCTGGGTTCGATTCCTCAGCACCACATAAGCAAAAAGAAAAAAGCCGGAAGTGGTGCTTTGGCTCAAGTGGTAGAGCCTTGAGCTGAAGAGCTGAGGGACAGCGCCCAGGCCCAGAGTTCAGGCCCCACGACTGGACCCAAAAAAAAAAAAAAAAAAAAAAAAACAGGAAAATATAATGAAGCTTTACGCTTACCTATTTGGAGCCTCCTAAACTGGGTTTGTTTTGCTCACTATCAGTTGTGGGGCCTGAACTCGGGGCACTGTCCCTGAGCTTTTTCACTCAAGGCAAGTGCTCTACCCCTTTGAGCAATAGTTCCATTTCCGGTTGACTTTGGATCGTGATCCTTAGATCACAGAATCCTGAGTAGCTAGGATTACAAGCGTGAGCCACAGGTGTTTGACTGGAGTGACAGATAAAACAAAAATTACCTAATTCTCCTTGATCCCTGACTCAAGTAAGTCACAATCAAGACACGGACAACTGAGTTGGCAAGTGTGTGAGCTGTATGCAGTACTGGAGAAGCAATGGGCATAGTGCCAGCTGTTAAGGACTTTATCAATACACAAGCATCAGCATGGCATCCCTAAACGTATAAGGTAGAATGTACAGGACCTGAGTAAACCCCAATCAAAGGCATGGAAAGGTGTCCTGAAGAGAGGAGAATTCAGATAGGCCCTAAGGAACAGTCAAATGTGACAGGCTGGGAGGAAGAGGAAGGATTCCCCTGAGCAAGAAGAAGGAACAAAGGCAGAGGTGCCTTTCAGAGGCAGTAACTTGGCTGCTATTGGGAAGAAGAGAATGTTTATCAAAGTAAAGGTTATACGCAGCAGAAGTTACAGTCTTTTCAAAGACGAACATTTAAAAGGGATATCTGAATTGACAGGACACTAGCACATGCTTCCTATCGTGATAGACTGGTGAAGATGATTTCATTGTCATTTAAGAAAAGATTTGCATTAGTGCAGCGCTACAAATGAGGAGCTGTGACTTGGCTATCACACAGCATTCTAAGATGAGTACTGAAGATGGCCTAAGATGCTGAGTGTGTTGATCACACAGGCAATCCTAGCACCTGAAAGGTGACATGAGTATTTTGAATTCAAGGCCACCCTGGGTTTCAAAGTGGCTCATGCCTAAAATCCTAGCTACTCAAGAGGCTGAGATTTGAGGATCCTGAGTCAAGGCCAGCCCAGGCCAAAAAAAACAAAAAAAAAATCCCCATGAGACTCTTATCTCTAATTAACTGCTCAAAAACCATAAGTGGCACTGTGGCTCAAATGGTAGAGCACTAGCCTTGAACACAAAGAGACTCAGGGACAATGCCCAAGCCCTGAGTTCAAGCCCCACAACCAACCAACCAACCAAGAAAGCAAAAACAAAAATAAGAAAAGGACAGCTGGGGGGCTGGGAAGGTGGCTCAGTGGTAGAGTGCTTGCCTTGCATGCTTGAGGCCCTGGGTTTGATTCCTCAGCACCACATAAGCAAAAAGAAAAAAAGCCGGAAGTGGCGCTGTGGCTCAAGTGGTAGAGCGCTAGCCTTGAGCTGAAGAGCTGAGGGACAGTGCCCAGGCCCAGGGTTCAGGCCCTACGACCGGACCCCCCCCCCCCAAAAAAAAAAAAAAAAAAAAGAAAAGAAAAGGACAGCTGGGTGCTGGTAGCTCATGGCTATAATTCTAGCTGAGACCTAGGTGATTGCATAGTTTGAAGCCAGCTTGGGCAGATTAGTCAGAGAAACTCCATTTCCAATTATCCAGCAAAATAGCAGACTGGAAGCATGGAGGAATATCACTGGCTCTAAGAAAAAAAATGCGTAAGCCCTGAGTTCAAGTCCCAGTACCAGATAAAAAAAAGAAAAAGATAAGACTTGAGCTATGCTTGGTCAATTTAAGCAGAAGGAATGGCTCTGAAACAAGAAAGTAGCTAGGATTACAGGTGTGAGCTACTATACTTGGCTTTTTACTTATTGTAATTTTTGGATTTGGGTTTGTTTTTGTTTTTTTGCAGTGATGGGGATAAAACCTGGGACCTTGCACATTGTAGGCAAGCAATCTACCTACTTTGTAAAGGAGAGACAAGTGGTAGTTACCAGTTTACCATGGAGAACAAAGCCCTAATAGTAAGTTTATGGTGTAAATTCTGTTTAATACTGCAAAACCAGTTTCTTAGTAGAGAAATCTGGTACTGTTCCCTTGTTTGGCAGCCACAGGACTGTTGTGTTACCCTTGGTTCTTCTGGGCCATGCAGGGCAATTTAAAATAAGTCTGCCCAGGACTGTGTCAGGGAGTCTGGGGCAGCATTTCTGGTGACTGTGCATAGAAAAAGCCAGTTCTTGAAGTATAATCAATAGGCTCATAACACAAAACAACCTGACACGGTTCTCATAGTTACTTGATCAAGGACACTGATTTATTTTCAGCTTTCTCATTATAAAGCATAGCACTTGGCAAATATTAAAATACTTAGTAATGCTGATGCCGGAGGCTCAGGCCTGTGAATCCTAGCTACTCAAGAGGCTGAGATCTGAGGATTGTGGTTTGAAGCCAGTCTGGGCAGGAAAGCCCATGACACTCTTATCTGTAATTAGCTACCAGAAAACCAGAAGAACAACTGTGGCTCAACATGGTAGAGTGCTAGCCTTGAATGAAAAAGCTCAGGGACAGCTAGCGCCCACGCCCTGAGTTCAAGTCTTATAACTGACCAAAAAAACAAAAAACAAAAACAAAAACAGTAAATATTTGCTGATTTCATGAAACAAGAGGTGTCTTGCAGGTGTTTAATTTAGTCCTAACTATAATTCATTTTGAGAGAGAAATGCAGGGAATGCATTGGCTTTGGAGTCAGAAAAAAAACCCCAATTTTAGTCCTAGCCACACTGACACTAGCTCTTGTTAAAATGAAAAGGCAACAGCAGGTCTCCAGTGTCCAGTGGCTCACACCCATAATCCTAGCTACTCCTGAGGATCAAGGTTTGAAGTCATCCTGGGCAGGGAAGTCCATGAGATTATATCCAATTAACCATCAAAAAGCTGGAAGTGGAGCTGTGGCTCAATTGGTTAGAGCACTAGCCTTGAGCAAAAAAGCTGAGAGACAGTGCCTAGGCTGTGAGTTCTGTTTTTTTTTTGTTTTTGTTTTTGGTCAGTTATGGGGCCTGAACTCTGAGCCTGGGCGCTGTCCCTCAGCTCTTCAGCTCAAGGGTAGCACTCTACTACTTGAGCCACAGCACCACTTCCAACTTTTTCTGCTTATGTGGTGCCGAGGTACTCAGGGCCTCATGCATGCAAGGCAAGCACTCTATGACTGAGCCACCTTCCCAGCCCCAAAGTCTTAAGATTATTTTTGTTGTTGGTGGTCGTGGGGCTTGAACTCTGGGCCTGGGCACTATCCCTCAGCTCTTCAGCTCAAAATGGTGCTCTGCCACTTGAGCCACAGCACCACTTCTGGCCCTGTGTTCTAACCCCCAGTACTAGCACCTTCCCCATTCCCCCGCAAAAAGCAGCAAACATAGAAAGGTATAGCATTGGTATATATAAATATTATACATGAAATGATTCAGAGAGATTTGCCACAAGAGGGCGCCCCACAATGGAAAGAGGTACCAACTTCTCTCTTCTAAGTGCTTGAGTAAATGCTAGTCAAACATTTTCAAGCCTCTGAAAAGAAACTTCTATCCCAAATCCTTTATTTTGTATAGCCATAAGCTTACCAGATGCTCACAGTTAAGGGTGTCTATTCATATCTCAGGCTTTCAAACATTAACTGCAAAATCAATGCATCTAATTCCTAGTAGCCGAATCCTTATACTAAAGTGCATATTAAAATGTTGGGCAGTGAAAATGCAATGTTGTGGTAGGGAACCATGAACATGCTTACAGCCATACGCGAGGCTTAGAACACTGCTTATAAAATACGGACGCCAGGTTTCCTTCTACTATCACCATTGTAACTGCTATACTTTAGCACACTTCCAGTCTGGCACAGGTAACAATGGTTCACTTTTTTGTTTTTTGAAACAGGGTCTTGCTACTCCAACTTGTAGCCCAGGCTATCCTCAAACTCAAGATCCTCCTGCCTTCACCTCCCTCCCGAGGACTAGTATTATACATGCCACTGTTCCTGGTGCTAGTCTTACTTTATAATAAAGCCTACTCAATAGACAGACACTCTTGAAAATGAACTATACCACTTATAGGTGGAGACAGTGAAGGAAGGGGTGATATTGTCCAAAAAGACATGTACTCATTACCTGACTTATGTAACTATAACCACTCTGTGCATCACCTTTATAATAACAATTAAAAATTAAAATAAAAAGAGTGAAATAAACAAATAACATAAAATAAAGCCTAATTAGTCATTGTCTTAGAATGAAATGTGTCTCTACCTAGGGAGACTTCCTTGATCAGCTCAGCTGCAGCATGGCAACCCTGAACAAGTATCCTGGTCCAGGTCGACAGATCCCGGTGTGTCTCCACCCGGAAGAGATGCATCTCAATGCCCTGCCGAGAACCTGTCCTGGTAGCAAATGTAAGGTCAGATCCAAGGGAAGGTGACCGACATCCAGATCCAGAATGTACCAACCTAGGACCACAAACAGAGAAGACATCAAAAGTAATGACTGTATCAACAGAGGGAAATGCCAGAATTTTGGCTCACTGATAAGCAAACTCTTGTTTGTTAGGGTTGTTTTTTTTTTGTTTTTTTACAGTTGTGGGGCCTGAACTCTGGGCGCTGTCCCTCAGCTCTTCAGCTCAAGGCTAGTGCTCTACCACTGAGCCACAGCACCACTTCGGCTTTTTTCTGCTTATGTGGTGCTGAGGAATCGAACCCAGGGCCTCATGCATGCGAGGCAAGCACTCTACCACTAAGCCAACTTCCTAGCCCAAGCAAACTCTTATAAAAGCCACCAGCAGTTTTTAGGTAAGTATACTGACTTGTGCCACAGCAAGACAGGTTATTGTCTTTGTAAAGGAAATGTTGAAAGAATAAAGGTAAATTCAGGCAGCTATTGTGGCACATACCAACACAGTAATCCCAGTACTCAGGAGGCTGAGTCAGGACACACCACCACAGTAATCCCAGCACTCAGGAGGCTGAGTCAGAAGGATGATGAATTTGAGGTCAGGCTGGACTACAAAGTGAGATCCTATGCCAAATTTTAAAAATCAATAAAAGAAAAATTCCCTGGTATATTCCATAAAGTGAATGAACATGAATTCACATAACTGAACACATGAATGAACTCTGAGGACACTGTAAGAAATCCAAAGCAGTTCCAGAATTCTAGTTTTTTTTGAAAGATAGGAATTTATCATCTCCTTAAGTGATAGCCTTTCCCTCCCTCCCTCCTCTTCCTTTCCTTCCTAGCTCCCTCCATCCCCTCATCCATTTAGGTTTTTGAGCCAGGGTCTCGCTAAAGAGGCCAAATGGGCCTTGAACTTGAGATCCTCCTGCTCTGCCTCCTGAGCACTAGGATAGAAGTTCAAAGGTGGCCTGGGCAGAAAAGTCCATGAGATTTCTATCCCCAATTAACCACCAGAAAGCCAAAAGTAGCACTGGCTCAAAGTGGTAGAACACTACCCTTGAGAAAAGAGCTCAGGGACAACACCCATGCCCTGAGTTCAACTGCACAACCAAAACCAAACCAAAACAAACCAAAACAAAAAAATTCCTGAAAGTGTTAAACAAAGTTTCAATATGTTCCAAGTAAGATAGAGAAAAGAGACAGAATTACCATGCCATATTCAGTTTGAATGCTAATCCCAAGTGAGACATTACAAAATATAAAGTCTAGAAGAATTTTTTCCTTCATACTTGATTTTGAAATCCTTGGCAGGGGGAATCTAATTCAAACCAGCTGCTGGAATCCTGCTGAGCAGCGGTTGGCTAGAACACATTGCCAAAGGCCCCCCCTTCTGTGGGGAGGCCAGATGAGTTCATTGGAAGGAGTTTTAGCACACTGCCACTCAGTTTCCCACACTGTGAAGTAGCCACATTTTCCTTAGTGTCTTTTTCTCTGTCAGTCAAAAAGTTCCAGGAACAGACTATCAAATTCACAACATCTACAAAATCAGTATGTATTCTGCACATATCATGTATCTGGCTTCAAGAAATGTATAAAATAGGGGCTGGGAAGGTGGCTCAGCGGTAGAGTGCTTGCCTTGCATACATGAGGCCCTGGGTACGATTCCTCAGCACCACATAGGTAAAAAGAAAAAAGCTGGAAGTGGCGCTGTGGCTCAAGTAGTAGAGCGCTAGCCTTGAGCTGAAGAGCTGAGGGACAGCGCCCAGGCCCAGAGTTCAGGCCCCACAACCAGAACCCCCCCCCCCAAAAAAAAAGAAATGTATAAAATAAAAATTCCCCTTATCATTTCCATGCTTTATTTAATCTCTCACTGGCCTGAAATGCCAAATATGCTCATGTACATATAAACACATGCACAAGCTTTGGTTTCTAAGAATCTGTAAACATAGCCAGGCACTGGTGGTTCACACCTGTAATCCTAGCTACTTAGGAGGCTGAGATCTGAGGATCATGGTTCAACAAAGCCAACCTGGGGAAGGAAAGGCCATGAAACTCTTCTCTCCAATAACCAATTAACCTGGACAGAGCCCGGGCCCTGTGTTCAAGTCCCATGATGAACAGAAAAAAAAAGCATCTGTAAACATGCAATCAATTCAAACTGTATTTCATGTTATACCAACCAAACAATGCTATCAGGTTGTGAATTATAATTAATTGTGAGCACCCAAGATCTTTTTTAGTGTCTTTTCCTTTCACATGTTTTCATGCTATCTTTATTCTGTTCACTCATAAGAATACATTCTAGGGTATTAGAAATAAAAATACAGAGACTGAACATTCAGTTGGATGCAACTGGTTCATGTCTATAATCCTAGCTACTCTGGAGGCTGAGATCTGAGAACTGCAGTTGAAAGCCAACCCAGGCAGAAAAGTCTGTGAGACTTTTATTTTCAATTAACTACCAAAAAGATAAAGTGGAGCTGTGGCTCAGGGACAGTACTTCCCAGGCCCTGAATTCAAGTCCAAGGACCAATACCAAAAAATTAAATAAATAAATAAAAAGAAAATTCAGCCCTTTCTCATTACTCACACAAATTTCAAGTCTCCTCTTTGCCCTGCACTAAGACAACATGCATGCCACCCTTCAGCTTGTCTTACTGAGGAGGACAGACCCTGTCTGCTTCCTCCCCTGCTCTCCTCAGTGGCTAGGCTACCCCTTCAGGTTAATAGAGGATTTGCTAAACTCCCCGTGAGGATTCTCTCATCAGTGATTTCAAGATCCCTACCCAATCAACAGGGCCACATGGAAAAGCCAAACCTCTCACCTGTCTGTCACCTTTGATTGTAATCTGCCAGTACTTTCTGAACAAGGAGGAAGAAATGTGGGCTGTTGTATTAATTAAACTGGTAAAGAAACAACAGGATTAGAAAATGGGATCCACTTAGTTAATGGCTAGTTCAGTTTTCATGTCTAGGTTGTCCAAATAATACATTTGAATTCCTCATATTTCACATAAATGTTGACTACTTGTAAGAACTGCTGAATCTTTGCTCCACTTTTAACAATGACCAAAGCCAATCTTAAAAAAAAGTATGCCCATTTGCCAGGCGCTGGTGGCTCATGCCTATAATCCTAGCTATTCAGGAGGCTGAGATCTGAGGATTGTGGTTCAAAGCCAGCTTGGGTAGGGCAGGAAAGTCTGTGAGACTCTTATCTGCAATTAACAACCAGAAAACCTGAAGTGGTGCTGTGGCTCAAGTGGTAGAGCGCTCACCTTGAGCTGAAGAGCGAGGGACAGCACCCAGGCCCAGAGTTCAGGCCCCACAACTGACAAAACAAAACAAAACAAAAACAAAAAACTATGCACATCTTTGATACAATTTCCATTAAATAATTATCACTATTATATTTAAATAAGCCTATTTTGAGCAGTTACAATGTGGTAAGTACCAGTCTCGGCATTTTGCAAGTATTAACTCAGTGAATGTGATGCCCCATCTAACTGGGTCCACTTGAAGAATGAAAACTGACACAGTTCAGTAATGTGCTTGGAATTCTTTAAGAGGAAGAATAAAACTCTTCACTGTGGGTTGGTCTCTGACCCTTTTATTTAATCCTGTTTTTGTTTTAGTCATAAAACCTTTATTCAGAATAATTCACATACCATACAATTTACCCATTTATTTCAATGCTGTCTTCTATATTCATAGCTGTACAACCATTATCATATTTTGAGTGAGCATGTTTTGTTTTTTATCAGTCGTGGGGCTTGAATTCTGGGCCTGGGTGCTGTCCCTCAGTTCTTCAGCTCAAGGCTAGCGCTCTACCACTTGAGCCATAGCGCCACTTCTGGCTTTTTTCTGTGTATGTGGTGCTGAGGAATCGAACCCAGGGCCTCATGTATGCAAGGCAAGTACTCTACCACTGAGCCACCTTCCCAGCTGAGGGAGCATGTTTTTATCACTCCTAAAAGAAGTTCTATGCCACTGGGCCCTGGTAGCTCATGCCTGTAATCCTAGCTACTCAGGAGGCTGAGATCTGAGGATCACCGTTCAAAGCCAGCACGGGCAGGAAAGTCCGTGAGACTCTTATCTCCAATAAACCATTAGAAAACTGGAAGTGGCACTGTGGCTCAAGCAGTAGAGCACTCTCAAGTGCAAAGACAGCACCTGGGCTGGCTTTGAACTGTGATCCTTGGATCTCAGCCTCCTGAGTAGCTAGAATTATAGGCGTGAGCCACTGGCGCCCAGCTTACACTGTGTTTTTGATCATAGCTGGAGCTCTCCCACTTGAGCCATACTTCTATTGTGGTGTTTTGCTAGTTCATTGGGGCTAAGAGTCTCTTGGATTTGTCTCCCTGCGCTGGCTTTGAACTAAGATCCTCAGAGCTTAGCCTCCTGCGTGGCTAAAATTATAGGCACCAACACCCAGTTCATGAAACAAAGAAACCAGGAAAATTTCCTCTATTTCTTTTTTTTTGGGTCTGGTCGTGGGGCCTGAACTCTGGGCCTGGACACTGTCCCTCAGCTCTTCAGCTCAAGGCTAGTGCTCTACCACTTGAGCCACAGCGCCACTTCTGGCTTTTTATTTTTTGCTTATGTGGTGCTGAGGAATCAAACCCAGGGCCTCGAGCATGCAAGGCAAGTGCTCTACCACTGAGCCACCTTCCCAGCCCTCCTCTATTTCTTTTATCCTCAAAAAAATACAGACAAGCCGGGCGCTGGTGGCTCACGCCTGTAATCCTAGCTACTCAGGAGGCTGAGATCTGAGGATCGCGGTTCAAAGCCAGCCCGGGCAGGAGAGACTGTGAGACTCTTATCTCCAATAAACCACCAGAAAACCGGAAGTGGCGCTGTGGCTCAAGTGGTAGAGCGCTCGCCTTGAGCTGAAGAGCTGAGGGACAGTGCCCAGGCCCAGAGTTCAAGCCCCACGACCGACAAAAAAAAAAAAAAAAAAAATACAGACAATTTCTAGTTTGTTAATCACTGTATTTCTAGTTCTTCTTACTGTCAGTAAGTATCATTTATTTTTGTTTTTGTGTGGTATTGGTGGGTAAATTCAGGGCCTTGTCCAAAGTGATCTAACATCTGTCTCGGGCTGTTCTTTGTTAATGTGTAGCTTCTCTGACCCTCTTTCCCTCCCCTCTTCATCCCCAATCTCTCTCTCTTTCTGAGACAAAGTCTTCCTTGAGGCTAGTTTAGACTAGCCTCAAGCTCACTAATGTACCCCCTGACTGGACTTGAACTTATGATCCTTTGGCCTTAGCCTCTCAAGTGCTAGGATTACAGGCATATGCCACTATGCCTGGCTGATTTTTTTTAAGTCTCCATAAAATCTAATTTGACTATGTTTTCTAGTCTTACATTTATTATCACTTGAGTACCCTGGCCCCTCTAAATCTATATTTATTCTTTACCCTTCTAATTTGCCCACATCTGGCATGCTAGAAACATTCTATTACTTCGGGTCAAATAAATGTTTATTTGGTAGAATCAAAATTATCTGCATTTACTTTAGAGAAATGAGAGAATATCTTGGCTATATTGTGTGGTTTATCCTCAGTACCACATTCTGGTTTAAATAATTTCACCATTCAGTCACAACTGTAACTAGAAACTACAATTTCAGTGGTTTTCTAGTCATGGTCAATAAAATAGAGGAAGGGAAAAAAGCCCATTATCTCCATGACTAAGCAAGTCTTGAAGGCAATGGTTAGGAAGCTGCTTCAAAATTTAAAAAGCACACATGAAAAACTAGTGTCAGAAACAAGTCATCTAAACTAGAGCTGCAAAATCATCAAGGGCTGTGGAAGGTTTTGTCTACCTCAGTGACTGAAATGCTGTTTTTGGCAGTGAAGATGGAATTCACTTTACCATTCTTGAGATTTGAGTATATTTTCCCCTTTAGTCCTACCTTGTGGCAACAAGAGGGTAGCTATGGCATGGTGATGCCCAGGCATCTCTTGTCCATGGCATACAGTCATAAAGCAGCAAGTCCTTCTCAGTCACAGCCATGAGGACAGGCCTCCATTGTTGTCTTCCACCATCCAGCTTTGCCTGCAACAACAGTAAAATCCAGAAGTTACTATAGTGGTATATATAGTGATGGCCCAGTAGATCTCCTTGTTTCTCATCTCAACTGACTTAAAAACAGGTTGCTTCCCACTAGTAGGGATTCTTCACTGGGAGGTGTAAGGTGGTATGTGGACTTGAAAAAGCTCGCCAGGCACTGGTGGCTCAAGCCTATAATCCTAACGACTGAGGAGGCTGAGAGCTGAGAATTGCAGTTTGAAGCCAGCCCAGGCAGAAGTCCTCATGAGATTCTTATTTCCAAATAACTACTCAAAAACTGGAAGTAGAGTTATGGTTCAAGTTATAGAACTAGCCGTGAGCAAAAGAGCTCATGGACAACATTCAAGCCCCAGGAAAATGAAAGAAAGAAAAGGAAAGAAAGGAAGAAAGAAAGGAAGAAAGAAAGAAAGGAAGAAAGAAAGAAGGAAGGAAGGAAGGAAGGAAGGAAGGAAGGAAGGAAGGAAGGAAGGAAGGAAGGAAGGAAGGAAGGAAGGAAGAAAGAGAGGAAGGAAGGAAGGAAAGGCTCACAGTACAGTACAGACTTCAGCAAATGAAGACATTTTTCCCTTGCTCTAAAAAAATTATCACTATTTCTAATTATTAGATATTCTAATGATTAGAATTAAATATAGTTTCAGAATATTTAATGTGTAAACCTAGAGTAACATCTTCTAAGTACAAGGTAGAAACTCAGGCTGCTCCTACTAGTAGGACAGAAAATCTTCCTATCAAATGTCTGCAGAATCTAAACAGCAACAGTTTTTAAATGTTTGTGAACAAGATCTATAGTAAGTAATATTTTGCACTGCAGTCCAATACACATATACATATTAGTGTTTTCAATATTTTCCAATATATTTGGAATATTTTCCAACCACAAGAGAATATGAGGCCTGAATTTTAAGTCATTCTGTTTGTCTGCTGCCTTAACTTCTAAGGTACTGTTTGCTTTAAACAGAGTCCTAATGCTGCTTGGTGGTTTTGGTTGGGGGTAACAGCATAAGCAGCCTTGGGCTCTAATATTAAGTGTCTGGCTGGAGAAAAATGGATATTAATATTAAGGCTTCAATTTGTTTGTGTCTAAGCATCATCACATTAACATACACCTAGCTACACAATACCCTTCTCCAAAATTTCTAATAAACAGAATTGGACAGAACTAAAAGTGATTACTTGTTCTCTAAATCTCTTTTTTTGTTTTTTTTTTGGTTGGTCGTGCGGCTTGAATTCTGGGCCTGGGCACTGTCCCTGAGCTCTTCAGATCAAGGTGAACAATCTACCACTAGAGCCACAGTGCCACTTCCAGTTTTCTGGTGGTTAAATGGAGATAAAGAGTCTCACGGTAAATGGAGATAAAGAGTCTCACGGCCGGGCGGGGGGGGGGGGGGGGGGGGGGGGGAAGGGGGGGAGAATTGGGGGGGCAGGGGGAGGATGGGAAGGGGAAACAAAGGAGGAGGCTACAATGCTTGATAAGAAATGTACTCATTATCTTGCCCATGTAATTGTAATCCCTCTGTACAGTATTTTCACAATAAAAAAAAAAAAAAAAAGAGTCTCATGGCCTTTTCCTGCCCGGCTTGTTTCGAACCACGATCCTCAGATCTCAGCCTCCTGACTAGCTGAGATTATAGACATGAGCCACCTGCAGCCAGCTTCTAAAGTTCTTTTTTTTCTTTTTCTCGGTCGTAGGGCTTGAACTCTGGGCTTGGGCGCTGTCCATGCGCTCTTCAGCTCAAGGCAAGCGCTCTGCAGCTCAAGCTACAGTGCTACTTCTAGTTTTCTAGTGATTTATTGGAGATAAGAGTCTCATGGAGTTTCCTGCTAGGGCTGGCTTTGAACCGCAATCCTCAGATCTCAGCCTCCTGAGTAGGTAGGATTACAGGCATGAGTCACCAGTGCCTGGCATATTTTTTAAAAGTGATTTTATAGGAAATACAAGTGTTTCATTTGGTGTCTTCATAGAATTTTGAGTTCTTTAATTTTATTATTTTTGAGTTATTTTACCATGAGCCAGGTGCTGTTGGCTCATACCTATAATACTAGCCACTCAGGAGGCTGACGTCTGAGGATCACAGTTTGAAGTCAGCCCAGGCCATAAAGTCTGAGACTCTAATCTCCAATTAACCACCAAAAAGGCAGAAGTGGAGTGGCAGCTCAAGTGTTAAGGCACTAAATGAGCAAAAAAGCACCAAGGCCCTGAATTCAAGCCAAGGACCAGCAAAAAAAAGAAAGAAAGAAAGAAAGAAAGAAAGAAAGAAAGAAAGAAAGAAAGAAAGAAAGAAAGAAAGAAAGAAAGAAAGAAAGAAAGGAAGGAAGGAAGGAAGGAAGGAAGGAAGGAAGGAAGGAAGGAAGGAAGGAAGGAAGGAAGGAAAGAATAGAATCATAAGATTGGTGGTATGGCTAAAATGACAAAGCAAACAAACCTAGCAAACCTAAGGCCCTTAATTCTGTAGCTAGTAATGCACCCTTCCCAATACATGTAGTACACATAAGACCTTGGATTTCATTCCAGTAATAGAAATAATGAAACAGTAATAAGAATATAGCCAGTGGCTGGGTGCCAGTGGCTCACATGTGTAATCCTAGCTATTCAGGAAGCTAAGATCTGAGGACTGTGGTTCAAAGTCAGCCTGGGCAGGAAAGGCCATGAGACCTTTAGCTCCAATTAACCACCAGAAAACTGCAAGTGGCATTATGGTTCTTGAGTTGAAGAGCTGAGGGACAGCATTCAGGCCCAGAGTTCAAGACCCATTGGCCGACCAAAAAAAAATAAGAATATAGCCAGGGGCTGGAATGTGGCTTAGTGGTAGAGTGCTGGTCTAGCATGCATGAAGCCCTGGGTTCCATTCCTCAGTACCACACAAACAGAAAAAGCCAGACGTAGCACTGTGCTTCAAATAGGAGAGTGCTAGCCTTGAGCAAAAGAAGCTCAGGACAGAGCCCAGGCCCTGAGTTCAAGCTCCAAACCTGGCAAAAAGAAAAGAAAGAAAGAAAAAAGAATTTAAGTAGACCTCCAAAACCAGGCAAGCAAAAGCAAAATCAGACAAACAGGTTTCCACAAAACTGAAAAGCTTCTCCACAACATAGTTAGCAGAGTAAAGAAACAATAAGCCAAGCACCAGTGGGGCTCACACCTGTAAGCCTAGCTAGGCTCTGAAGAGGCTGAGGCCTGAGGATCATGGTTTGAAGCCAGGTGGGGCAGAAAAGGAGATTCCTATCTCCAAGAAACTACTCATAAAAAGCTGAAAGTGTCACTGTGGCTCAAGTGGTAGGCTAGCCTTGAGCACAAAGAGCTTCAGGGACAGCACTCAGGCCCTGGGTTTGAGCCCCTAGAATAACAAAAAAAGAAAGAAAAGAAACAATAAAATGATTGTGGAAAAAAATATTTGCATATCATACATTGGAATAAAAGGCAAATACCCAAAACATGTAAGGAAGGCAAAATACTCAAAATGAGCAAGGCTGGGGGAGAGCTCAGTGAGAGAGCTTGTTTGCTTATCCCCACCCTCTACAAAGATCTGAATAGGAATTTCTTACATGAAGACATACAAATGACCAAGACACATGAAAAAATACTCAACATCTAATCAGGTGAATGCAAACAAAAACCACAATGAAATATGTTTCATCTGTTAAATTGGGTATTATAAAGAAGATGATTGGGGAGAGGGAAAGAAGGAAGGGGAATATGGTGAAGGAGGTGAATCTGTTCAAAGACAACGTGAACATGTATGGAAATACAACAAAACCCTCTCATATTACAAATGTATGTTAGTTCAAGGAGAAAAAAAAAGGAGGGCTACCATAGCTCAGAAGAATACCTGTCTACCAAATACAAGGCCCTGAGTTCAAACTTCAGTATGAGCACATTAATGGCTGATTCATCCCTTTTGTTTTGATAAGGGTGTTGTTCAGACAGGGTCCCTGTAAGTAGCCCAGGATGGTCTTGAAATGTGATTCCCCTACCTCAGTCTCCCAAGTGCTTTAGTTATTTTTCTCAGCAGGGTCTTACTTTTTACCCGTACAGCTCAGGTCATGATCCTCCTACTCATACTTCCCACATGGCTGGGATAACAAATGCACATCAACATGCCAAGGTTTTTTAATTTTTTTGAGATAGGGTCTTGTAAACTTTTTTCTGTGGCTAACTTCAAGCTGTGATCCTCTAAATCTAGCTCTCTAAGCAGGAAGGGTTAGACATAAGCCACCATACCCAGATCAGACACATTAATTAAACAAGAATAAAAAAGCCGGGCGCCTGTAGCTCATGCCTGTAATCCTAGCTACTCAGGAGGCTGAGATCTGAGGATCATGGTTCAAAGCCAGCAAAGGCAGAAACATCCATGAGACTCTTATCTCCAATAAACCACTCGAAAACCAGAAGTGGCACTGTGGCTCAAGCAGTAGAGCACTCACCTTGAGCTGAAGAGCTGAGGGATAGCACCCAGGCCCAGAGTTCAAGCCCCACGACCAACAAAACAACAACAAAAAAAATAAAAAGCTGGGCACTTATTGCTCACGCCTGTAGTTCTAGCTATTCAGGAGATTAAGACTTGGAGGGGGTGCTGGGAAGGTAGCTCAGTGGTAGAGTGCTTGCCTTGCATGCATGAGGCCCTGGGTTCGATTCCTCAGCACCACATAAGCAGAAAAAGCTGGAAGTGGCGCTTTGGCTCAAGTGGTAGGGCGCTAGCCTTGAGCAGAGGAGCTGAGGGACAGTGCTCAGGCCCACAGTTCAGGCCCTATGACTGACAAAAAAAAAAAAGACTTGGAGAATCACAATTTGAAGCCAGCCCAAACAAAAAAGTTTGTGAGGTTCCATCTCCAATTAAGCAACAAAATGCTTGAGTAAGTGAATGGCTCACTTGATAGGGTGTCAAGTATAGGCAAGAAAGCCATACAATAGTGCAAAGCCCTGAGTTCAAGTCCCAATACTGTCACAAAAAAAATTAAAATATAAAGTTCTGGGCTGGGAAGGTAGCTCAGTGGTAGAGCGCTTGTCTTGCATGCCTAAGGCCCTGGGTTCGATTCCTCAGCACCACATAAGCAAAAAGCAAAAAACCAGAAGTGGTGCTGTGGCTCAAGTGGTAGAGTGCTAGCCTTGAGCTGAAGAGCTGAGGGATAGCGCCCAGGCCCAGAGTTCAGGCCCAACGACTGGACAAAAAAAAAAAAAAATATATATATATATATATATATATATATATATATATATATATAAAGTTCTATTCATCATGTTATCTTTTCTATCAGAGAAAATATATGTTCATATGTTCATATCTTCTTATACTCACACACACACACAATGTGAAAGGATTTGCTAGGGAAAAAAAAGTAGCCAGGTACCCATGGCACTTGCCTAATCCTAGTTACACAGGAGGCTGAGATATGAGGATCACAGTTCAAAGCCAGCCTGGGCAGGAAAGTCCATGAGACTCTTTATCTCCAATTACCATCAGAAAACCAGAAGTGGCACTATATGGCTCAAAGTGGTATAATACTAGCCTTGAGTGGAAAAGCTCAGGGACAGTGCTCAGGCCCTGAACAGTTCAAGCCACGACCAACAAAAGAAAAAAAAAAAAAAGAAAAAGAAAAAGGAAAGTAGGGGCTGGGATGTGGCTTAGTGGCAGAGTGCTTGCCTAGCATGCATGAAGCCCTGGATTCGATTCCTCAGTACCATATAAACAGAAAAGGCTGGAAGTGGTGCTGTAGCTCAAGTAGTAGAGTGCTAGCCTTGAGGAAGAGAAGCTCAGGGACAGTGCCCAGGCCCTGAGTTCAAGCCCCAGGTCTGGCAAAAAAAAAAAAAAATCCAGAACCCTAAACCCTAAAAAAATAATAATAATAAAATAAAAGTAATTACCCTGCCTTGGGGGTAGGGATGGCAAATAGTAAATGGGGGGCAGAAATGAGTTAAATTTTTTACTGACTTCTGAACCATGTGAATGTGTTACCTGTTTAAAATAAAAGATTCCTGGGGGCGGGGGAGGATGGGAAGGGGAAACAAAGGAGGAGGCTACAATGCTTGATAAGAAATGTACTCATTGGACTGGGAAGGTGGCTCAGTGGTAGAGCGCTTGCCTTGCATGCCTGAGGCCCTGGGTTCGATTCCTCAGCACCACATAAGCAAAAAGAAAAATACCGGAAGTGGCACTGTGGCTCAAGTGGTAGAGCGCTAGCCTTGAGCTGAAGAGCTGAGGGATAGCGCCCAGGCCCAGAGTTCAGGCCCCACTACCGGACCAAAAAAAAAAAAAGAAATGTACTCATTATCTTGCCCATGTAATTGTAACCCCTCTGTACAGTATTTTCACAATAAAAAAATAAACAAATAAAATAAATAAAAGACTCCTAACATTTCTGCAAACATAGAACAATTACTACTCAATCCAGTTTCTTTGTTTTTAGGAGCCAATGATTTAGTCTGTTTCTTTTTTTTTTTGCCGGTCGTGGACCTGAACTCTGGGCCTAGGCGCTGTCTCTCAGCTCTTCAGCTCAAGGCAAGTGCTCTACTGCTTGAGCCACAGCGCCACTTCTGGCTTTTTCTGTTTATTTGGTGCTGAGGAATCGAACCCAGGGCTTCATGCATGCAAGGCAAGCACTCTACCACTGAGCCACCTTCCCAGCCCGATTTAGTCTATTTCTTACCCACTAGGACACACATGAGTCAAAGAGACGAAGAAAGTTCAATGAAGATGTAAAGCCAGTGAAAACCGTGTGTATGTATACATACACACACACTATATAAACAGGGACCAGACAGATAAATGCAGGGAGGAACCATTCTGGCTCTGATAAGGGTCCAGTGAACTCTGGCTGCCCTGCCTGCTAGCCTACCTGTTCTGCCAGCCAGGCAACGTGCTTGACTTCCTTGCTGCCTCCCGCTGTACTGGTAGCACCAAGCATGGCATTGAGTTCTGCCAACACCTGTGGGAGGAGAGCCATTATGTTGGTGTGGATAGCTACGAACCAGGAGTGTGCAGTGGCTGTATCCTTGCAGCGGAGGATCAACGTGTTCCTGCTATCAGGAGAATGTAGCTCTATCAATCTGTGTGGAAAAGAAAAGAAAAAAAGGAACTAGGTCAGAAGTCATCACACCTGCCAGAGTTTAACACACAAACTGAAAATCTAATTTAATTTTGTATTCCTCAAATAAAGGCACTTTTTCTCCATTCTCTAGAGTCCAATTTCAGAGAAAACCACACCTAGAAAAATAATCATCAGCAAACTTAACTGCTGGATCAGTTGTTGTACAATGTTAATGAAAGGAACTGATAAGGCACCTACATTATTCTCTACAGAATATATCACTTTGCCTTAATTCCATATCCAGAAATGTAAAGGATACTTGTTGAACTTCTTGGGTCAAAAGTGGAACTAATATTCTAAAACTATTTAGATAACTCTAGTATGTTATTAAAATATACAAATAATGAACTAAAAAAATTTTTTTTGGTTGGTCCTGAGGCTTGAACTCTGGGCTTGGGCGCTGTCCCTACACTCTTCAGCTCAAGGAGAGCGCCCTACTGCTTGAGCCACAGTGCCACTTCTAGTTTTCTAGTGGTTTATTGGAGATAAAGAGTCTCATAGACTTTCCTGCCAGCTAGCTTTGAACTACGATTACAAGCATGAGCCACCGGCACCCAGCAAATAAGCTAATTTTTAAAAATGTGCATGAACAAATTTCTTTTTCCTTTTTTTGCCAATCATGGGGCTTGAACCCTGGGCCTGGGCACTGCCCTGAACCTTTCTGTGCTCAAGGCTAGTGCTCTACCACTAGAGCCACAGTGCCACTTCCAGTTTTTTCTGTTTATGTGGTGCTGAGGAATCGAACCCAGGGCCTCATGCATGTAAGGCAAGCATTCTACCACTGAGCCACATTCCCAGCCCCATATGAACAAATTTCTTTCTTTCTTTTTTTTTTTTTTTTTTGGGTCCGGTCATGGGGCCTGAACTCTGGGCCTGGGCGCTGTCCCTCAGCTCTTCAGCTCAAGGCTAGCACTCTACCACTTGAGCCACAGCGCCACTTCCGGCTTTTTTCTTTTTGCTTTTGTGGTGCTGAGGAATCGAACCCAGGGCCTCAGGCATGCAAGGCAAGTGCTCTACCACTGAGCCACCTACCCAGCCCTGAACAAATTTCTTAAAAAGCAATTTGGGGGGGGGGGGGGGGGGAAGGGTAGGGTACTGTCATGTGTTCTGGATAAAGTACTTACTAAGATAAGTCAAATAAATGTGACTAACATACATGGGAATGCATTTATCTTGGAAAATGGAAAAAAGAAAAAGCTATTATGAATGTCTCCCCTGGTGGGTCAGAAATTGACAAAGTGTTAGTCACCAAGGAGAGAGCCTTATTTTCTGAAGACAATCTGTACTGCTTTGAAGTGCTTATTAGCCTATCACAGACAAGCACCTCCTACATATACCAGCATTTCTGCTTTGAAGCTTGACTCCATCTCCTTTGCCCTATTTTTTTTCCTTTTTCAGTTTTGCCACATTTTTAAGCCCTTTTCTGTTGCAAAGAGTCTAAGTTGTCTTATTTTATATGACAAATATTTATTCTCCTTTGAACTGTTTGGTCTATCCTTTCATTATTTTTGTTTGCTTGTTTAGTTTGGGGACTTAACTCCAGGCTCAAACTCTTGCTTTCAATAGGGGCAGGTACTCTATCATGTCAGCCGGTGCAGCCTTTTGCTGACTAGTTGGAGATAAGGGTCTCTTTTTGTTTGTTTTTCTTTGATTTTGATCAGGCTGGATCCAAACCTCAATCCTCAGACCTCAGCCTCCTGAATAGCTAGGATAGAGGCATGAGACACTGGTGCCTGGTGGTAGATCCTTTCTTAGATAAATATTTATTGGGCTCCCACTATGTGGTAAATACTATAGTAGATACTGGTGTTGGAGATACAGTACTACAAAAACAGAAAAAATATCTTGTCTCCATTCTTGTTGATTACCATTAGTCTAAATGAAACAATGATAAAACAAAAATAAATAATTTCTGGTAAAACAGAATTACCAGTTACAAAAAGGGCTGTAAAGGACTGTAATTTGTTGATAAAGTAGTGTGACTATTACTTCAATGCTCCCATGGTGGTAGTAGCAAAGCAGAACTGGCAAAGAAAACTTCTAGATCTCTAAGCTGGCATCATACTATGAGATAATCTATAAACACATCTATCTGGTAGAGTATCTATACTAACTCACATGCCCTAACAGTCTATCTACCTTTAAAGTTCTACAGCAATAGTCCAATAGGACAAAAGTCTTAGAAAATAGCCAAAACCCAAATAACTGAACAGACACTTTAAAATGTTCATGTTTGAAAGCTCATCTCCCTTAGAGAATCTTAAGACAACAGATTTCATGAACTACTTGCTTTTGATTTGGATGTAGATCTGATTTATTCATCTATTAGATTCCTTATCCTATATGTAAATATAGTGAGAGGAACCAGGGGATCTGAATATAGAAGGTCTTGAATAACAGGTTAAGTCTTGTTACTAATTAGTAAGCAATATGGAATCATTTAAGACTTTAAACAAGGGAACAAAGTGACGAACACAGTACACTGAAAAGATTATTTTAGGAGATACATCAGCAACTATATTATAGCAGCATTATTCACGATAGTCAAAAGGTGGTAACATCCTAGATGCCCATCAATGAATGAATAAGCAAAATACATTAAAAAAAAAAATCAGGCTGGGCACTGGTAGTTCACACCTATAATCCCTAGCTACTTAGGAGGCTGAGATCTGAGGATCGCAGTTCCAAGCCAGCCTGGGCAGGAAAATCCGTGAGACTCTTTTTTTTTTTGGGGGGGGTCCGGTCATGGGGCCTGAACTCTGGGCCTGGGCACTGTCCCTCAGCTCTTCAGCTCAAGGCTAGAGCTCTACCACTTGAGCCACAGCGCCACTCCCGGCTTTTTTTTTTTTTTTTTCTTTTTGCTTATATGGTGCTGAGGAATTGAACCCAGGGCCTCAGGCATGCAAGGCAAGCGCTCTACCACTGAGCCACCTTCCCAGCCCGTCCGTGAGACTCTTATCTCCAATTAACCACCAGAAAACCGGAAGTGGCACTGTGGTTCTACTGGTACAGCACTAGCCTTGGAGGGCTGAGGGACAGTACTCAAGCCCAGCGTTCAAACCCCACAACTGAAAGAAAAAAAAATCAGGGTTCAAGTGATAGAATACCTGGTGCTCTACCTTTGATGCCATTTAAATCTCAGCACCCCCCCAACCCCCCCAAAACAGCCAACCAACTAAACAAACAAAAAAAAGGAAAGAAATCCTTGCTGCAACATAGATGAACCTCTAAGATATTATGTTAAGTAAAATATGCCAGACATAAAAGTACAAATATCATATGAATATACTTATGAGCTATCTAAAGTAGCATCCCAGAAACAAAGTAGAATAGTAGTTGTTAGGAGCTGGGTAGAGGGGGAGTGAGGAGCTACTCTTTTTTCTTTTTTGTCGGCCGTGGGGCTTGAACTCTGGACTTGGGCGCTGTCCCTGCGCTCTTCAGCTCAAGGCGAGTGCTCTACCGCTTGAGCCACAGCGCCACTTCCAGTTTTCTAGTGGTTTATTAGAGATAAGAGTCTCACAGACTTTCCTGCCCAGGCTGACTTTGAACTGCGATCCTCAGATCTCAGCCTCCTGAACAGCTAGGATTACAGGCGTGAGCCACCAGTGCCCAGGGAGCTATTCTTTAGTCAGAGCAGTTTTTCTTTTATAATAAAGTACTGGAGACTTATTGTGTATTATCATGAATATGTTTAACATTAACGATTTGAGTGCATAAATATGCCTAATATGGTAAACTATTGGGCCTGAACACTGTCCCTCAGCTCTTCAGCTCAAAGCTAGTGCTCTACCACTTGAGCTACAGCGCCATTTCCAGTTTTCTGGTGGTTTATTGGAGATAGAGTTTCACGGACTTTCCTGCCCGGGCTGGCTTTGAACCGCGATCCTCAGATTTCAGCCTCCTGAGTAGCTAGGATTACAAGCATGAGCCACTGGCACCCGGCTACTTTTTTATTGTAAAAATACTGTACAGAGGGTTACAGTTACATGAGCAAGGTATTGAGTACATTTCCTATTGAGCATTATTGCCTCCTCCTTTGTTTTCCCCTACCATCTCTTCCCTCCCATCTCTACAACTACCACCCCCCCCCACCAAAGTTGTAAAGTTCATTTTCAACATATGTTTTGTTCATCTCATTGTTACAATGGGTCAACCTGCAACCTTATTTAAGCATTTTGTTTTTTCCCTTCCCCTCCCTGAATAGAGAAGTGTATATACAAGATTCAGGGCACTGACATCAAATACAGTGAAAACAGGGGTTATACTGTGGGAGAGGAACATACAAAGTAATATGGTAGACTTTATGTGCCATATTTTCTTTATCCATTCATTAGTTGATAGACATTGAAGTTAAATCCATAACTTGGTAATTCTTCATTAATTAATTTGGGTTTGAACTCAGGGCATTTTTTTTTTTGTCGGTTGTGGGGCTTGAACTCTGGGCCTGGGCGCTGTCCCTCAGCTCTTCAGCTCAAGGCGAGCGCTCTACCACTTGAGCTACAGCGCCACTTCCGGTTTTCTGGTGGTTTATTGGAGATAAGAGTCTCCTGGTCTCTCCTGCCCAGGCTGGCTTTGAACCGCGATCCTCAGATCTCAGCCTCCAGAGTAGCTAGGATTACAGGCGTGAGCCACTAGCGCCCGGCTGAACTCAGGGCATTTTGCTATGCAGGCATTCTATCACTTGAGCCATACCCCTAGTTCTTTTCTGTCATTACTTTTGGTTATTTTTCAGGTAGGGTCTCAAAACATGATCCTCTTACCTAAACCTGCCATGTAGCTGGGATCACTATATCTGGCTTATAGACTAAAAGGGGTCTGATGGCTTTTTGCCAGTGCTGGCTTTAAATTGTGACTCTCTTAATGTTTACCTCTTGAGAGCTAGGATTATACCTGTGGGTCACCACACCTGACCCCTAACGTGGTTATTGTGAATAGTGCCATAATAAACATGGGAGCCAGGTGCTGGTGGCTCTCATCTGTAATCCTAGCTATTCAAGCCAGCCTGGGAAGAAAGTCTGTGACTCTAATTTCTAGTTAGCCACCAAAAAGCTGGAGGTGAAGCTGTGGCCCAAGTGGTACCATATATCATCATAGAGGTACCATGTATTATCAGGCTGAATGTTTTCTAGAAGAATCTTTTGATATCCACCTAGTTACTTTGGCATTAGAGTCAGCAGAAAATCCTTTAAACACATGCTAAATAAATGTTCATTGGCAAAACCATGACAAGGAATTTCCTTCACTCCTCCTACTGACCTACATAGCACTAAAGATAGTACTCAGTTCGTCCTTCAAGTATAAAATAGTCACTTTCTAGAGGAAAAAAAAAAGTCTTTGCATTTCATGTAGCTCCTGGGACAATGTCCAGACTGGCTCCTTTGACAAAGTATAAATTCTGAAAACCCCATTAACAAAGATTGTAGTTATTACTAACTGAAAGAACAGAAAAAAAATATTACAAATTACAGCTCATTAAGTACGAGTGAGCACTGGACACCTTGGGGCTCAAAAGAAGGAAAATAGGCAGTAGGCTATTTCACAGGGGAGGATCACTAATTTATGAAAAGTACAATATCTTGAAAAGGGATTGTAAAACAGAAAATTTAAGAAGAGAAACCAAAAAGGATTGAGTCTAGGATCTATGGGAATCTTCTTAGTAGATAAAAACTCTCAAAACTTGCAAAGGGGATAAAGTCATATCTAAAGTCTGTTTGAAAAAAAAAAAAAATCAGCTAGGCTCACTCCTGTAATCCCAGCTATGCAGGAGGCTGAGATCTGAGGATCTTGATTGGAAGCCAGTTTGGGCAAGAAAGTCCCTGAGGCTTTTTATCTCCAATTAACTACCAAAAAGCCAGAAGTAGAGCTGTGGCTCAAATGGTAGAGCACTAGCCTTGAGCAAAAAGCTTATAGACTAGTCAGGAGCCAGTGGCTCATGCCTGTAATCCTAGCCACTCAGGAGGCTGAGATCTGAGAATTATGATTTGAAGCCAGCCCCTTCAGAAAAGCCCTCATAGACTCTTACCTCCAATTAACAACTCAAAAATCAGAAGTGGCGCTGAGGCTCAAAATGGTAGAGCCCTAACCTTGAACAAAAGAGCTCAGGGACAACCCCCAGACTCTGAGTTTAAACTCCAGGACCAGCACCAAAAAGAAAAATTCAAATGCAAACTCTGCTAATAAATGTAAAGAGGCATTTGCCAGTAATTGGGCCCAAAGGAAAGAAGAAGAGACAGCTACAATGTCAACAGTTTTGGCCTCTAGTCAAACCATTGAGGATTTCCTAAGAATTAGACAAATTTAATCAATGTTTAGGTACATATAAGCACAGGATCCTCCGTTGTTTTTCTGCAGGAGAAGAGTCTTAGATATGACTTAATTCAATTTAGTAATAATCATGTGATTTTACATGTTATAAAGCCAAATTTCTTTCTTTTTTTTTTTTTTTTGCTTGGTCGTGGGGCCTAGGCACTGTCCCTTAGCTCTTCAGCTCAAGGAGAGCAGTCTACCACTTGAGCAAAAGAGCTACTTCCCATTTTCTGGTGGCTAATTGGAAATAAGAGTCTCAGAGACTTTCTTGCCCAGGCTGAAAGCCAAACTTCTTACATGGAGAATAGCCAGTGTGAAGATGACTAAGATATTGTAAACCAGTGCAAAGGACACAGACATTTTCCAAAAGTGACCTCTAAGAACACCTTGTTCTTGCTAATTTTACATTGCCCACATATTGTTTGCTAAGGAATGTGCTCAAGTTCTGTCCTTTCACTTCATCATTATTTATTTAGTTTTCAAGTTCCACAATGAAATACTTAACAATTATCAGAAGTATCTAGTATCTAGTGAGGCTATGAAACTTGATTGTGGGGAAGGAAGTAAACTTCTTCCTTCCTATTAACTTACTCATTCCGACAACACTTTGCTTTTTTCTTCCAGCTCTACATAATGGAAGCAAATCAAAGTACTAAAGTAGCAGTAGAAGCAATAGTAACAATAGTGCCTTACATAAATAGAGGATGAGCCACAAAGATATTCTGCTACATACACCAGATTGGCTAACAGTAAAAAGGCTGATACCAACAATGTTAGTGAGAATGTGAAGCCAAGGAAACTTTCAGACATTGTTGATAAGAACATAAAATGGCAAAATCACTTTGGGAGTTTGGAAGAATGTCTGATAGGGTTTCCCCGACTTGGTGCTGGTGCTGGAGCTTGAACTAAGGGCTTCTTACTCTCACTCAGCTTTTTTGCTTATGGTTGGTACTCTACCACTTGAGTCATGCCCCAAACCCAGCTCTGAGCTAGTTAATTGGAGATAAGCATTTCTTGGTACTGTCTGAGAAGGCTAGCTTCAAACCACAATCCTAAAATCTCAGCGTCCTTGGTAGCTCAGAACCTTTCTTTGAGAAGGTGGCCTAGTAGGGATTCAAAACTAGGACTGTCTGATGGCAGAGCTCAGCCCTTTCCAGCTCTACTCTATTCCCATTTTATTCCCCAGGGGTAACCACCAATATACAGTATGTTGTGTGTCTGTCCAAATTTTTCATAAACACACAGACACACACACACACACATACTAGTGTAACATGGCACTTGCAAAATTTATCTGTATTAATCTTTCTTCTGTATAACTGAGTTAACAGACAGTTGTGTGATATTGGGCAAGTCCTTCAGTTCAGAGTATGATGTTCATGTTAGGTACAGCTCACCTGTTTTCCAGATCTGGCATGCTTAGGTTTCTAGCAGCAAAGCACATCCTGAGAGGGATGACTTTCCTGTCCTTGGTGCTGTTCTGGTGTTTCGGAGAACCAGAGTCCTCACTGCCACTAAAGCTTGGTGACTGGGGAGCCGCACCTTCCCATGGCAGGTCTGATACTAAAGATGGCTTCTTGATATATGGTGTTACTTCTCGGATGAACTTGACTATGAACAAAAATCAGAGAACAAGGTTAGCATTTTCTTTCTCATGAAAAATGAAAACTATGATAGTCACATGTAAGTAGTATTTACAACAAAGTAAAAACACAAAGTTCAAGAGCCATGAATTCTCCAGATAGATTTCAGTGCTTCCCGAGACAACACCATGTAGCTTCAGACAATTCTTTGCATTTAGAAATGTCTTAATGCTTCCACCTGTTGGTTTACTATCTACTGAAGCCATGTAGAATAAACAATTTCTCTTCACACGAGAACATTTCAAATATCTGAAAGATGTGTTATTTCTTTCTTGCTCTTATTCATACTAAGTAAGCATCATTACATTCTAAAAAACATAACCTAAAAATAAAATATAATCAAGATAAGCACAACAAAGCAGGCTCAACAGATAGTCTTGCTGTTTCAAAATGTCCTATTAACATCAAGGATACCTCAAATTAAAATACAGCTTTCAATAGACAAAAAACTTTTTCCTTTTATGTTCAATTTTAGGACTCATAAAACACTTCTTTTACCTCAGTCATGACTGGCATATTATGTTGAGGCAGGGTGTTCTTGCTTTAAAAAAAATAAACTGGCCAGGTGCCAGTGGCTCACACCTGTAATCCTAGCTACTTAGGAGGCTGAGATCTGAGTGTTGCAGTTTGAAGCCAGCGCAGGCAGGAAAGTCCATAAGACTCTTATCTCCAATAAATTACTCAGCTCAGGGACAGCACCCAGGCCTTGAGTTCAAGCCCTACAACTGACACACACACACACACACACACACACACACACACACACACACACACACACACACACACACTGAAGATTATTAAAATCTTAAATAACATTACAAGAATTTAAAATAGTTGAATATAGATGAATCAGTCATCATTCTCTCTCTTAATGGGCTGCCTCTGTATTTTACCTCATTTTCAAATTCCAATGTGATAGGTCACAAGAGTAACATCATAGGAATTGCAAAACTTAAAATGGAATCGTTTTATTTACACTTCTCACATAGCTTGGATGACAGATGTACACTACGACATGCAGCTTCTTATTAGTTGAGTGACGAGGGGATATCATCAACTTTTTGTCCAGATTGGTCACAAACTAGCATCCTCTTGATCTTTGCCTCCTAAACAGCTAAGATTCAAATGTGAGCCACCACATCCAGTTAAAAATTTTATTTTATTTTTTGCCAGTCCTGGGGTTTGAACTCAGGCCTGGGCTCTGTCCCTGAACTTCTTTTGCTCAAGGCTAGCACTCAACCACTTGAACCTCAGCGCCACTTCTGGCTTTTTCTGTTTGTGTGGTACTGAGGAATTGAACCCAAGGCTTCATGCATGCTAGGCAAGCACTCTACCAATAAGTCATATTCCCAGCCCCAGTTAAAATTTTCATCACTAATCACTAGAAGGGATGAAGCTATTTTCTTATACATTATCAAACAAGATCTGCTGGAATTAAGCACAATATTAGAGAATAGGATTCTAATGCTAGCATTTAAACAGTGTATTACTTGCTTAAGTGTATGTGCTTTCTGTACAGTTATGTGTGATTCTGGGTGGAGAAAGTAAAAGCTAGCTGCCTCAGGTCACCAAGGAGATTTTTTTTTCACACTAAAAGAATGGGGGGGCGGGCAGTGCAGTCAGCATATCCCTTGAGCGGTTAGCTGAGTCAGGCTTTTCAACACACAGTATAGTTCTGTGCTTTCAAGAGGATTAGATAACAAGAACTTGGCAGAAATTCCTAAGGCTTTCAGTCACCGCCAATGGCAGAGATATGTTTTTTGAATATTTGAAGAACTCTACCAATTACATATACCAAGTGGGGAAAAATAAAGACATCCTAAGTAAGTAATCTTGAAATTATAGTGATCTGAAAAGAATTCTAGTGATCTACTTAGAAGAAGCATCTAGGATCTGATGCTACACACACACACACACACACACACACTCTCTCTCTTGAGGATCATCTTATTAAAAGAGCAGCAAGCTGCACCTGCGTTTATGGTAATGCAGCCCATATTGCTGTCTAATTAGCTAAATGGCTAAAATATTGTACACTGACATCTGTTTCTAATTACATGAGATTTGGGAATGGTGAAAAGTTAACAGTATTCTGCTTTAGACTTGTGCTACAACCTCCAGAGCTGCCATAGGGCCTTAACCTGAACACCTGGCTGGTAACAGTACCATTACAACCCATGTGGCTTTTGGTTCAATTCAGAATGCACAATATAGCTCAGAGTTCTTTCATTCTCCCCCTACAGCTTAAGATTATCCTCAAAATAATTAAACACCAATGTCTATAAACTGTTTTAAATGCCTGGATACTGAAGCTCTCTCCCAGTTTTTCCTTCCCATTCCCACCCACGAGTTGTACAGTTCATTTTCAATAGAGTCTAGTGAGTATGATTGCGGTATAATTATGTAATTTTAAAAGCACTAAAAGCTTTTTAGTGCACTTAGAGCCCATGGCTGTAAATATACATATTTGGGTGAACTCATCATTTTATCTTGTAAACACTGCCCTCATATATCATTGCTTTCTTCATCTCTTAATATCTTTTTAATCCTTCTGGTATACTTTTTAATGAGTTCTAGTGAAATTAAGTGGGTGACAAAAATGTGAGGTGCTATTACTCTGCCTGTATTCACAAGCAAGTTTGTTTCTAGGTTATCTAAGGGTAGAAGATGTGGCTGCATTCTGCACAGGAATGTATTATGCTGATATCACTGCTAAAGTATTCTCTCAAGAGATTTATCACAAACTACTCCTTCAAACCAGGAATCTAACAGATGGCCACCCAAAACAGTGGGAATTGCTTTGCCTTCAGTAAAAAGCCTTTTACAAGCGAGGCATGGTGGCTCACGCCTGTAATCCTAGCTGCTCAGGAGGCTGAGATCTGAGGATGGCAGTTCAAAGCCAGCCTGGGCAGGAAAGGTCATGAGAAGTTCATGGGAAGGGGCGCTGTGGCTCAAGTGGTAGAGCGCTCGCCTTGAGCTGAAGAGCTGAGGGACAGCGCTCAAGCCCAGAGTTCAAGCCCCACAACTGAAAGAAAAAAAAAAGCCTTTTACATCTTCAATTTGTAGGTGACTTTTGGTTCAAGTCTACTGGCCTTTTTGGAATTTGAATAGACTATAGTCCATGACTTGATAAGAACCTTGAAAATATTCAGTTTCTCTTACTTCATTATGTTATGGTTTTTAAGACAAAGTGTTGCAAAGTAACCCAGTCTGGCCTTAAACTTGCAGTCTTTCTGCTTTAGCTTCTCAAGTGTTGGGATTACAGACATGTACCACCCCACTCAGCCTACTTCTTCATTTATTATTATTATATTATTATTATTGACAGTACTGGTGGTGTTAATCCCAGGATTTGTGCTTGCCCAGGCCTCTATCACGTGAGCCAAACCTCTGGCCTTTTTGCTTTACATTATTTTTCGGATCAGATCCCATGCTTTTTGCCCAGGACAGGCCTTGGGTCCCATCCTCCTACCTATGCCTCCTTTGGGACTACAGGAATGCTTTTTCACAACTAGTTTACTGAAATGGAGTCTTGCTTTTTGCTAGGGCAGATCCTCCCAATCTCTGACTCTCAAGTACCTGGGATTCCAGGTGCACTCCATTACATCTGGCATCTACCTCTTCATTTTAAAGTTACATAGCACACTTACTAATTTACTAATTTACTATGTACAAGGAACTGTTTTAGGGGCTGGGAAGGTGGCTCAGTGGTGGAGCGCTTGCCTTGCATGCAAGAGGCCCTGGGTTCGATTCCTCAGCACCACATAAGCAAAAAGAAAAAAGCCAGAAGTGGCGCTGTGGCTCAAGTGGTAGACTGCTAGCCTTGAGCTGAAGAGCTGAGGGACAGCACCCAAGCCCAGAGTTCAGGCCCCACAACCGGACCCCCCCCCCCCCAAAAAAAAAAAAAGGAACTGTTTTAGGCACTTAGAATAATACATCAGTGAATGAAACATGTGGAACAAACAAAAAACTCAACTTGGGCTGGGAATGTGGCTTAGTGGTAGTGCTTGCCTTGCATACATGAAGCCCTGGGTTCAATTCCCTAGTACCACATAAACAGAAAAGGCTGGAAATGGCGCTGTAGCTCAAGTGGTAGAAGACTAGCCTTGCGCAAAAGCTCAGGAACAGTGCCCAGACCCTGAGTTCAAGCCCCAAGACTGGCACCAAAAAACAGTTAAAAAAAAACTCAACTCTACAATTTATAACTAATGATATTCTAGACAAATGAAAGCAAAAACATAAATGTTAGCTGGGCACTGGCGGCTCATGCCTGTAATCCTAGCTACTCTGGAGGCTGAGATATGAGGATCACAGTTCAAAGCCAACCCAGGCAGGAAAGTCCATGAGACATGAGACTCTTATCTCCAACAAACTACTCTGAAAAGGCTGGAAGTAGAGCTGTGGCTCAAGTGTTAGAGTGCCAGCCTTGAGCATGAAGAAACTCAGGAACAGTGTCCAGACCCTGAGTTCAAGCCCCAGGACCAGCACAAAAAAAAACAAAAAACATTATAAATGTTTTTAAGCAGATTTATTCATATATTACAAAACTAGAAACAACCTCATTTTTTTCAATGGATAAATGGGTGAATGCAACCAGCTATAGAATACCATTCTGCATAATAAAGGAATGAACTACTAACACACTCAGCAATGTGTCTGGATTTCAAATGTATCAGGCTAAGAAAAGTCAGTCTCATTTCTAGCAATGAAAAGATAGATCAGGTGTATGAAGATGTATTTTTTTTTTTTTTTGGTTGGTTGTGGGCCTGAACTCTGGGCCTGGGCACTGTCCCTGAGCTCTTCAGCTCAAAGCTAGTGCTCTACCACTTGAGCCATTCTGGCCTTTTCTGTTTTATGTGGTGCTGAGGAATCGAACCCAGGGCCTCATGCATGCAAAGCAAGCACTCTACCACTGAGCCACCTTCCCAGCCCCTAGGATGTATGATTATAAAGGGATAGTGTGACAGG